GCGGAAATACAGACGGCTAGACAGACAAACAGACAGACAGATGAGTCGGAGACACTTTCTTCTGCCTGTTACACACATTGCTTTTTATTCATGTTTTCAATGTGATCAGATTAAAAACGGCGATTATAATTTTGTTCTCCAAACTTTGCTAAAAAATTTCACGAAGCAAATGTTATTCGCTACCTACTTACATTAATTTTATAGCTTTTGGTAATAATACTGTAATAAGAATCAACCTTATACTCAGAGGTCAATAATCTTTTTATCTTGTTGATAATATTAATATTAAAAGAGTACTTAGTTAGTAGCCAGAGGCCGTTTGGTATTTATCGATTATCCTCAGTGCGCACAAAAAACAACGTACATATTGTGGAGAAAAATAATTTGCAATTGAAATGTGGCTTTGATGATGCCAAACACAGGACATACCAAACTTGTCCAGTTGACTTTTTCGACCTGTCCTCACTTTGGCTTCCTTTTACGTATCCTTATGCTGTTGACGGCCCGAATGCTAATGAGCCAGCCAAGCAACATTCTCTTACTTTCCCTGCTGCTCTACCTTTCTTCTATTAAGTGTCCTTCGTTGCCAGTTTTTGCCCAAGCGAGCAAATTTATTGCATACTTCCTGTCCGTAAAGGCAAAGGCCTCAAAAGGATGTGTTGTGTGTGGTGTGTATGGTGTGCGTATGTGTGTATATCATGAAATTAAATGGAATATCAGCTGGATATTGTTTGTTATTGTACAAATCGATCGGCACGGTAGCAGCCAGCCCGGTTGATTAATGAGTTCCAGTTTTGAGTCTTGCACAACATTTTTCCACTGATTCGCATCTATCGTACTTTAACCCATCCTTCAGTTTTTCCTAGCACAACTGGCGTCACGCTGGCGCCACCAACAAATAAAATCAACAACAACAGCACAGAAAATGTCCGAGTAAAATTACAACAATTAAGTTGAGACATACAAGAATAAAAGGCGTGCAGTTAGGGGGTTCAGGCCCTGAATGAATGCAAATGACAACGAAAGCAACTGCAGCTCGGTGGGCTATTAACGATAGCCTTGCTGTGGGTATGACAACTTTGGGAGTCAGCTTGCTAGGTTTTAATTACAGGGTAATCGAATTTTAGTTAATTTATTGTTTATATTCCATATGACAATTTCATCACCTTCAATTTTCGAAAAATGCAATTCAATTTGTGTTCAATTTGTAACTCCAAAAAAAAACTATCAAAAGTTTTTCAGATAATGGTAACAGAGAAGAAAATCCTGATAAAACTTAGAATGGCTTTTAATTGACAAAATAGTGTTGTTTTTTTTTTCAAAATTAGGTGCATCCATTTGTATCAAATTCCTGTCCAAAGAGTATTTGAAATTCGTGAGCGATTTCCATGTCATTAGAGCTGTTCCGTCTTGTCTGTTTTTTATGCATCTCACTTGCCAAGTGACATTTCGTATGTCTCTTTGGCCCTTCCTTGTCTGTAGCCTTGCTACTTCTGCGCATTGTGCGCTTTTAATTATTTGTGGATGTTTTTGTTATTCTTCGTCTCTCATTTGCTGGCAGGGCTACGTCCTTGGTTCTTTCCCCTTCCACCAAACTCCCATAGCAGCACATTGGGAGGTTCATTTAAGCCCAAGAAGAAGTGGCTTGTACCTTGTTGCTTTCATCTAGCAATGCTTATCAACTCAATCAAGAAATAGTACTTTAGTCGGAATGCCCGACGAGAAGATATCTATCTTTCCATAGCTGCATACCATTGGAAATTCATTCCTGAATAACTGAATTGCGACGGGAAGCATCCATAATGTGATTCTTACACTGTGTATGTTTTACGAGAACCTACATTAAGGGCCTCTCGCACCTTAAGTCTTCGATCTATGCTTAAAAACAGATATTTAACGATATTTTGGAAATGAGAGGAGACAGAAAAACAAAACTCTTCAGGGCATAGGTTTTTAACGTGTCAGGTTCAACGTTTTTGGTCAAGGACTGCCTGTTACATACACTTGCGCAAGCCTCTTTTACTGATGGAATGACACACAAAGCTACTCAGCTCGTCGTCCTGATCAATAAAATACATACCTTATGGAGTCGAAGATGCTTCATTCTGCCAGTTAAATACATTTGCGCAAAACTATTTTACCCTTTTTTCCCCAATTTGCATGGAAACAGGGTATAACAACCAGAGACAAAAAAGAGCTAAATGAAGAGAAATTTACTGCCAATGATGTTGGCTGATTAAAATGACTAGCAGACAAATCAGTTACTTGTCTGAGTTCAATGAACCCTTTACCCAAAACTAAAAGCTAGTTTAAGTATTTATGCGGGTTGAAAAGTTTTATCGATATCGTGCACAACAAAGGACCCACACAGCCAGATAAATGGCAAAAACTATACGCTGTTACTGTTTGTGCATACAAATTTTAAATTTATGCTACGAGTTCCCTGAACTCCATAGCCTGAACCCCAACGTGCATTGACTTGTGCGACTCTGAGTCGCATCTTTCTGCTGGCTGCAACCTTTTAGATAACGCAGTTTATGGCCAAAAACAAGGTTGGTGTGGTTAACCATTAATGGACTTGAGCTTTGATTTCATCCAGTCGCTTAATTGTGTCGTAAATGCGTTATTGATACATCATTAGGCAAGCGATAAACACGGCGTATGCGCAATATTTATAACGCAACTTAAAGCCATATCAATTCAACGCCAGAGAACCAACATTTACAACGAATTTTGCTACTCAACGCTAGAAAATTATTTCCAACACAATTTATTGCAGCTTTGGCAAGTAGCCAACAACCCGTGCTTTAGGGCTTATAAAAGGCTGTGGGCGGAGAGCAGTTGGACGGCTAACAAAACCTTTAAAAAGTAACAAAAAATTTAAGAAATTTAAATTTAAATTTAAATACAATTAAATGCGTATTTTTATTATGATCCTCCGCTTCCAACTTTTAAGTTGGAACCAACCACAATTGACAAATAGTTTAATTCCTTTAAACATACATCCACGAGCACCTCATGTTGTAAATTTTTGAATAAACTATTATTAACACCTGCCGAAAATTTATTTATATTCAGTGCGAGTCCTTGTAAATAGGTTACTACTTTATTACACAGATACTATAAAACCAAGATACGCTGCTTTAAAGGTAAAATGCATGCTCAGGTCCATAGGGTCCTTGTATGACTTTAGCTGCAAGGTACTTGGATGCTTCAGATTTCTCAAACAGAACTCACAGCACGTTTTGCTGCTGGCATTTGGTCGACTTTGAGCTAGTAACATATTTTCGTGGGGTGTAGTGGGTGGAATAATTGGTTGGCATGCCAAAAAAAGGCTTCCATTTGGATACCTACCCCGCCCTGGCGTACGTGACGCCTTGAAAGTGTCGCCCGTTTTATTTGACGTACGTGTCAAGGGAAACTACATGCAAAAATGAACTGAACAACAAGAAGCTTAATAATAATAAAAAATAAATGCATGAAATTATTGAAATATTTTTTGACCTTAAGTAATATTGATGCTATGCCAACGCATACGAAAAATGTAGGTGAAAATTTAAAAAAGTACTTCATGCAATATTGTAACTTAGAACAGTTTCAATCAGTTTCATTGTCATTGATGGATTTTGATAAATGAACAGACATTATGCCAAATATGCAAATATATCTCGATGAAATATTGACCAATACATGTACACACGCTCACACGCGTGCAAGAATATGTACATTCATGCTGTGACGGGCTTGTCAATATTTCTACGATAAAAATCAGAATCGAATAGTGGCCCAAACAATGGCCTGACATTCGAATCGGAATAATGGACGAGGGTGACAGACTGTGGAGAAGGAGGCATGTTTGCGTGCAAAGTCAAATAATTGGCAGCAGCATGGACAAGAGCTGCAATTAGAGCAATATTGACTCGCTCAGATACACCGCTGGACATGTGCGTAAGGGCACACGTGAAAACATATCATAACTGTTGATATATTATTGGATTTCACAAAAACCAAATATAAAGTCGTTCCAGTGCACTAAGCATTTATGAATGAGATATACTATTAACCTTAAATGAAAATTCTGTTGTAATTATTTAATTTGTAATTCCATTGTCGGACGCCAAAGCTTGAGTGATAGCTATTGTTAAAAGGCAGACATTACCTGGCTGTATAAAAATATATTTTAAATGCATTTCCAATCAAACAATTTTCACTTATTTTCCATTCGTGGTGGATTTCTCGAACTTGATAGGCATTGTCATTACCTTTCAGTGTAGAGCAGACCAGACCAGATTTAAGAGATTTAAGCGAATGTCTTAGACCTATTATTTTAACTGTCGTAGGGCTAGAAATATTTTTTCTTTTTTCATTTTGGAAAAATTTCTTTGAAATTATGTTTGACACAATTTTTCTAGAAGTTTTCCTGTTCAAATGTGCATCAAACAAGGCAAGTGCTATGAAAAATACAGCTTCCAGCTTTTACGGCGTAGTCTATATATATCTATATATTTTCAAAAGTGAATTCTAAAATTCCTATTAAATGTGCAGAAACCAAATTTATTTGTATTAATAACTGTAAAAACACTTTGCAGTTAACCCAAAAAACTGCTCACTTCTGTATGAACAAAGACCGTTGCAAAAAACCAAACAAAGATTCAAATATATTTCAGCATAAAAGTAATTTTGATAGCATCCATAAAAGATTCATTTTCATTTTGATGTTGCATTGTTTTCCGACGGGTGTTTGCCATGCACAACGCTGCGTATGCGTGTTATTTGGTAGATGGTTGAGCACTACATACTCATATCTCTTTCTATCAATCTCGCTGTCCCTCTTTCCCCTTTATTGGTCTGGCGGAATTATATTTCATTTTTATTCATTGCGATTCATTTTAGAAGAGTGTTTTGTTTTAATTAAATTTTATGTTTGCCCAGATATAAAAGTGGCTCAACATAAAGAGCTATAAGTAAATTATAGTGCAATCAAAATTTCAAATAATCCAACTAAAAATTTAAAAAATATTAATTAACTGGCGGAGGCGACAGGCAAAGTTTCCACAAAAATTGACTAACAACGGTTCGGTATCAAAAATGAGCTCGACTCTTTCCTAAAAAGCCGCGCGAAATCTTAAGCACAAGCCAACGGAAAATGGGCGACACATTGGATGAGACGCCGCCGTCGCGACGCGGTAAGCCGCAATCCTTGAACATTAGTCCGGAGGAGACGTCTGAAGCTGCAGTTGAAGGTGCAAGCTATGCAGCCAGCGGCTCCTCCACGCGCTCTACACGCTCGCGAACGGGCAACGAACCGGTACGGGAACGCGATCAGTCCTGTGATAGGCTGAGCTCTAAAGGCAATCGGAATGAAGAGTTGGTTGGCCTGGCGACACCACCACGGCGAGAGAGTCTCAACAGCTGCGACCAGCAGCAGCAACAGGCAAGCAGTCCCGGCGGGGGCTTGCACAAGGCGCTGGGTCTGAGCAGTCGCTCCACAGCTGCCGGAAACAATCCGCGGTACTCGTCCAGCGTTGTGGTTGGTGGCGGAGTTGGCAATCTATCCGGCACCACAACGCGCAAGTGCGTCCTGACGCTGGACGGGTACTCCTATGTCATAGGTAAGTGATGGGTGCACTTAAAGAAAAGCCTGGGCTTGCCTTATTGCCTAGCCCAGAGTCACCTTCGCTGCTTTTTTGCAAAGCATACTTTGTGTGACCCAAATGAACTGCTTTCATGGGTTTGACTTTTAATTCGTAAGCCGCCCTTTCCACACACTCCAAACACAATTGCGCCATGCAAAGGCATAAAATAATATATATGTATCTATTTTTCTATCATTTCATTGCAGGTAAGTCAATTCAGAGGGCAAACCCAAGAGCCAGATTGAAACGACGGCCCAGGTACGTGGCCCATTGCAGCATTAAATTGAAAATGAAATTGAATTTCCCCAAAGGGGCCGGCGTATGGTAGTAGCCAATTTAAAACTTGGCTGCCTTACCCATAACTCCTTTCTTATCCTTTCTTCTAACCAGCACAACACAATTCATTTCGAATTGCTGCTGGAAATTTATGGGCAACTTTTAATACTGCAGCAGATTGCGTATACGACACGTGGCCAGAGTAGACATTTAAGAAAATACGCAAAATATGCTTTGGCAGGTTAGGTGGACCAGACCAGGCCAGGCCAGACCAGTTCGTTGTTGTTCTCGGCAAGAGTTTCGGAGCGTGGGCCTTTGAAATCAGCTGGACACACGTGTTGGCTGGTCTCAGCTTCTGAGCATCATTATACAGCTATATACTGATATAAACAGGTTCTAGAAAACAAACATACAGCTGTTGGCCAGACACTTTAAGCTTCTGTGTGTTCATTTAAGATAAAACGTATGAATTCAATTTGAGGTGAAATGAATTTTAAGCGAAAATAAAAGGTTTACGTATAATCCCGAGAACTGTTCGTGTGTGTATTTGGGTGTGGGTGCATATATATATGTGTGTGAGGAGCTATTGTAGTAAAATGACCATTCACCGCAATAAGGATAGCAGAAAAATTTAAATATGGCATAAAATTACCAACAGTAACAGGGAGAATATAAATTAAACAAGGAGGGATATTACTAAAGTTGAATATAGTGTATGCAACAATCGATAGATGCATCGATAGATAGATAGATAGATAGAGAGATAGATAGATAAGTAGACAGATGTATAGCTGGATATGTAGATAGACAGATAGATAAATAAATTAATATGTCAGATACATACTAGTTTGCACACAAAGAGTAAATCCCTTTTATCAACATTGAATGCGTATAAATATTAAAAGATATTATAAATGAATATAGCCAATTTGTCCTTGGCGAATTAATCGTCAATCGTATACCACAAACAAATCTCAAAAATAAATGTATTTATAAAAATCTTTGAAGCCAGCAAAATCAAGTCAAGAGCTGTCAACTTGAAGCTCACGTAACATCTACGTGCTCCTGGATCGCTTTACTGAAAAAAGCTGTAAAACTGTTAAACTACCTACTCAATTATTCGGTTAAACGTTAAATAAATAAATAGATAAAAGAAATTCAACTGTTACCAGTTCTATTCTCCAGATGGAATGTGTACCGTTGGGCTCCAATTGCTGTGTCACGTAGCTGCCACAAATTTGAGGCAATGCCAAGGCATGGGGCACGCCCCCAATCGGACAAGAGCCAAGTGACAATGTGGCGCGTCCTTTGGGGTTAAAATTTATGGGCGCTGCAATATTTTGCAAATATCCGTAGCATATCCTGCGGCGACAGCACAGACAAACAACAATGCAATAAATAGTCAAGTGTTTGTTTTTGTGTTTGTGCTCGTGTTCCTGTCGCTGTTCAGCGCCAGACTGTGTGTGTGTGTGTGTATGTGTGTATGTAGATGTTGTTGTTTTCGAAGTGTGTCCTTCAATTGACATATTACACTTATTGCTGGCCTGGTCGCGGCCGCTTTCTAGCATTGCACGTTTGTTGTTGTCACTCGCAGACAAAGGCTGCAGACGAGGACAAGGCCCGCGTCCACCTCCGCCCATCGGTTATTTGTCCTGTCTGGCTGGTTGTCCAGAGCCCCGCTTGCTCAAGCGGGCTTCAGCGACAAGTTCACTTATTGACAGCAGCCAGCCGAGTGGGAAAAGGTTACCACTTAATTGATGTGCTGTGTGTGCAACTGAAACTGGGAACAAAACAACAAAAAAAAAAGGGTTAAGTGGCCAATTTAGCTGCGGTTCAATGAATCTTCATTGGCATTGGCCAATTTATTAAAGAAAAACAAGAAAACGCGTTAAGTTAACTAAGCGCGTAATAAGGTTTAAGGACAGGGAACATTTGCAAGATCTTCGCATAATTTTGGGCGCTTAAAAATTCACAAATACAAGAAAACCATTTGGCAAAGTTGATGCGCATAACTCAAATGCTTTTTGCACTATTCGAGCCAAAAGTGACCTTTGCTTGGTTTTGTTTTAGGCAGTCCTAAGGAACCCATAAAAATTTGCATAAATTCCAGTCATTGACTTTAACGCACAAACATTTCAATGCATATTTCGAATTGTGGGTAACATGACAAGCTCCCTCAAAAAAAATTTATTGTGGAGCAAAAAAGTTGAGCAGCTTTATTGAATTTGTATGGGCCTGGCTTAAAGGGATAATGTATGCAACTCTTGGCTGAAAGTTTTTATTTGCCCTTATGCCAGCAGCGCCTCAATTGCCAATCAATTTGGCTTTTACTCTCTGCGGACCATTGATGTCGACAACTGCTTTCAAGTGACAGCAAAATTATAAAAAACAAACAGGAGTGGGAGCGGTTTTTACCCTGTAGCCAAAGCTGTCACGATGGTGGCCTCTTTCGGTAATTTATCTGCCATAAATACTCCCTATTGTTAAATAAAATTTTATAAGCACAAGCTAAAAACAAAGGATGCCCCCTTGATAGGGCTCGATATATATGTTTTTGGCCTGGCACATACAATTAGAACACCTTGGAATTAAGTCGAACTCAATTAAAGCAAAAAGGAAGGAATACATACACACAAACCTATGATTCGCATTTCTTTCGTGTTTATCGCCCAATCTTTATAAAATGTTAAGAAAAATTGTAGCACCCAAATCAATATATCAGATCGGGAGCCTTTAAAAAATCTAGATCTTATAACTATGGAGCTTTGCTTAAAAACCCAAATTACAAAATAGATTTTAAATGATAATTTGGAAATGGATGAAATATCGATAAAAATATATATTCAAGCGTTTGTATAGGAGAAAATATTTCAAGTCTCTAGCTTTTATACAATATATATTTGTGGGGTCGGAGATGATTCCTTCCGCCTGTTACATATTCTTGCACAAAAACATTATGCCCTATTAAACCGTTTCCAATGAATTTATGGTATAAAAACCCTTTAGAAATGCATGAATACAAATCCCACAAAAACACACGCAAGCCAACTCTAGTTGCTAATCAGTAGCATTTTGAATGCCCTATACTTATTGAAAGTGGAAAAAAAAAGGTCTGCATCAACAGAAGACTCGATCTAGCCTGTCTATAAAGCTTTCATACCACAAACTAAAAGCTTGTTTGCCAATCGCAAATAAGGTTTATTTTAAATTATCTCAAAAATAGATATAACTCAGCGCTTGGAGGTGTGTGCACATTTAACACATTTAACGGTAGCTCGGCACTGGATTCATGGTATCTGAAAGTCGGGAGCTCTTGACTGGAGCACTCATGTTTTAATTAAAAACAGTTAAAAAGCGGCGCCAGTTTCGCGACTGTCTGTTAAATTTATGGAGCCTGCAGCTAAATGGCCAAAATGGCGCTGCCACAAACAGAAAAGGCAGCATACGCACGCACACATACACGGGCAAGGGAAAAAGTTGGCAACCCGAATTGTGGTTGGCCCGAAGGATCCAATTAGCTGGCTCATCTTCGTTCGTTTTCCCCGCTTCCTGCGGCCGCTCCTACCTTTCGCTGCTGTTCTGACATCAAGGTGCGCGTCGCGTCCTGCCAATTTTCCCAGAAATGCTCAACATTTTGAAACTTTAAAGCTCGAAAGGATTTAATATGTGTGTCCTTGTATGCATTTTTGGCTGCTCTGTATATATATTTACCAACCATCAGACAATGCGACATCCTCAGCCCGCAGACAATTGATCAATTCAATAGCTATGAGTTCCAGCAAGCAACTGTACCAGCTTTCATTCTATTTCTGTGAATTAACAATTAATTAAAATGTATTATATAGTAACTTGTAAGGCCAGTAACTATAGTATGACAAAATACTTGAGGCAAGTGTTTTTTGTATAAAATAAATCCTCATTTTCTTCTAATTTCCTTACAAAAATAAAAGGACAATGATTTATAGCTTTTGCTGATTGACACAAGAGGAGAACTTTGTGTTTCTGTTTTTATTTGTTGACGGCAACATTTACTTGTTTGTGAGAAGAAAAAAAGTTTTTGGGATGAATACGGACTAAAAAACATGTTCGCGGCTGAGGAACATATTCTGGTGGACTGTGAAGAATTGGACAGAAATAAAGAAGTGAATCGATAGCACTACAAATCCGTTTATCCAACAGTCAAGGAACAAATTGTCTCTCGCTTATTCGAATGCCAAATATTAAGAAACTCACATTTATCTTAACGTTAGTAAGTTTGACTAAGTAAACCTTGAGATCTAGGTCTAGTTGAGACAGCAGAGGTTTTGATAGATATTAAACCAATTGTTCCCTCGGCTGTGTGAACTATTTTTTAGAAATATAAATTACAATCAGTAGATTCAAGCCATGTTCTATTTATGCAACCAGCCAAAATAATCAAGTTAGAAGAGCTTAGTTTACAGCTTTAAGTGTCCGTTAGTCCGGTTAATTTCCAAACAGTTGAATATAATTTTATTGGTAACTCTGAGAAGCAACAACGGCGCTGTCAACTTCCGGCAATCGGGACTGGAAACAAGGATTTCCACTTGCCAGCCAGCAAAGCGTTAAATTTACTTTAGCAGCTGCCAGCTGCTGCCTTGTCCTTTTCGTCGTCTCAGTTTCAGTTGCAGCTCGAGACTCCTAGTATAGGGACTTTCGGGGCCAATTGCTGCTGTCGTCCT